TTGTCCACCTTCTTCAACATCTATAGATTCTTGATAAACAATATCTTTGACTTCCTCTGGCTCAATAACCTTCTCCTATACCACCTGATATATGGCTTGGTACTAATTATTCGAGATTTTTCAACAGTTCGGATGACGTTACGCGAGTAATTAATAATTTTCAAAATAGGTTTATGGTTGCATTAAGTGAAGTTAATAAAGTACCTGATGGTATGAAAGTGGAATCACAATCTGAAGAAAAGTATACATGTGTTGTTAATCGATGGCCACTGATTGCTTTATTATTGGTATTATCTGGATTAACTGGACTGATTGGGTGTTACTATATTCTTAGTATGAAATCAAAATTTATTGATATTGGACCGAAGAGTTTGTTAGCTATAGGAACAACTTATGAAACACAACAAATATTACATGGTACTAAAGTACTTGGAGAGAAAAACATGGACAATTTTAATAATCGCAAATTATGTCTTGTAAACATTGATCACCAGAATGTTGCTCTTAGTTACACTAATAATTAACATTGGGGGTTTTTATATGATTACTAGATGTTAGATCAGTCGTTAAACGATGAGTTAAGTTTAAATATAATCCATTTCCCTTTTTTATCCGTCGTAAATGTTTGCTTGTCATATTTGTATATAAAAGATTTCTCGCATTTACAATGGCTTTGATTCTCTAATGTTTATAGAGTTTGGTATCATTTTTTAATAGCAACTAGCTTGCCTCGCATTGCTTACGCAACGCGCTTAGAGTTTAATTTTATTGCATTTGGTGACTAAATACTGTATAAGAAAATTAAATAGATAAGATTATAATAATTTTGAATGCTAAACTAATTTACGGATATTTTGTTTAATGTTATGCATTATGGATGGAACGTAATAGATAGTTATGTTTTATATATTAGAGGGAAAAAGATTGTTAAATTTATTGTGGTTTGCAAAATTAAGTGAAATTTGAAGATCAATAATAAAAAAAAAAGTAATCAATAAAAAAGTAATCAATAAGTGCGCAATTATTGGGTCAGATCAGTGGAAAGTAATAAAAAATGCAGATTTTGACTTCATACAGTGTATTTGGCGAAATACAGTGTGTTTCGTGCCAAATCTTGTAGATCTCTTTTTTGACTGGTTGTTATATTAATAAACAGAACCCAAAATGCGTTTTATTAGAAAAAAGAAATATTGGAATTTAAAATCTGAGAAATTGCATTTAAGGAAGATAAACTACAGAAAAGTAAGCAACAATAGTAAAAACTGTATTCATGAATATTACTACCTGGGTAACCTACCCGCTAATGACCATGTTAGGATTTCGGAATGGATACAATCACTACTTCTAGCATAGGCTTTTACCCAACCCTAATATTTAATTTGACACATAATACGCATTATCAACGGTCAAAATTTTACATTTGATATATTATAGGTCAATGACATAACAACTATTTCCTTAAAGTTAGCCTTG